TAACATCACACAATATGGATTCTTGCACTTCACTTGGTGGAATTAATATTAGAATGTTATGGTTAGTAATCCAAGTGAGAATATATACATTATAAGACCTAACCAGGAACGACTGCGAAAAATGCAGCACAAGGTTCTCTGGTAGGAATCGCAGGGCCGTAGGTTCATTTCCTACCAGAGGACCTTGTGCTGCATTTTGTGCAGTCGTTCCTGGTTAGGTCTTAAAATGTATATATTGTCACTTGGACTACTAACCCTAACATAATTTTCTAATAACATCACACACGCATTTTATTCACCAGAGTGCATTACACCAACAGAGCAAATATTTTTAACAACTGACCCCTGGAGGGTGACTACCTCACAGGTGTTTGTTGTGCATGAATATTGATGTTGTTGTGGATGATGTCATCCTGATCCTAATCCTGACATTAAAACCTAATCCCGAATCTAAAACTGCAACAAAATCCCATGAGTTAGTCAAGGCCAGCTGTGAATTTGATGTCATCATGATGTTACTCAAATTACACAAAGACATTGTAGGGGGCCTCATTGTTAAAATAATTATGATTATGGCTCAATTTCCGTATTAATGATCCCAAAATTTAATCTCCAGTCCTTACCTTAAAACCAACTCTAGTTCTATTGGTTACCCTGACTAATTCTAGTAATTATCCTTTTGGCACAAAGTTATATGAAACGTGACCCATGATTATACAAGCAAAAGGAGGGAAAACATTTGGGAAAACAAATGGTTCCTTGCTATTTCTCAAATGGCAAGGCATAACATTTGTTCTCCAGATAATTTGACTGAAGTTTGCAAAGTATAATCACATAATTACTGTGTGGTGTAAAGAAGTTGACATTCTGGTTAAAAGTTTCAATTGAATATTTACAAAATAATATAAAATAACCATTGATACTTAAATGCTTAAATTCTTTCAGTACTCCATTGTCTCTTTAATGCATGTTCTATTGCGTTAATCGGGAATGAGAGTTTGTCTGCTCACTTGAGAATGCCAAATACTATGCTAACCACTCTTTCATTGAGTCCCAGCATAAAAACGTAATAGCGTTCACTACACTTAAAAATGCCTTTGCCATGTGTGTATCTGATGCCGCTCTTACTTTTTTCGAGAATTGTAATGAAATGCAGCAGTTTTAGAAGAAGCAAAGGAAGCTGAAAAAATTACACATTCTCATCCATGGTGTGCATGTTTGCTTTGTCCACAGTAATTTAGTGTGCCATTCAGTCATTCTACCCACTCACCAATGATACTGTTGCGAAAGAAAATTGGGATTCCTTGGATTCAATTGTACAATACAGTATATCCACGGGATTATCTTGATGGCAGTGCAATTGAATATGTCTATATCTTTCATTGTGCTGCGATGCCACCGTCTTATTTGGTTGATCGAATAATTCTATCTACCAAAAATATTTTGTTACCTTGTGCAAACCAGTTAAGGCACTTCAGCCACGAGACCATTATTTTAAAGCACACCTTCCAACCTTATTGAAGTCTGCGATGCCAGTTCATCCTAAAGTTCCTCCTAAAGTTTCTACTAAAGTTTTTTCTGCTCCTTCCTCTACACAAGTGACTACATTTACTAAAAAGCAGACGACTGGTCCAAAAAGAAAACAAATTAGCTTAGATCGATGCGCTTCTTGTGAAACGAGCGTGCAACACACAAGAAACTGTAGACAGTGAAATCAAATTTCCCAGCACTAGCAAAGGAATTTCATCTGTAACTCCCAACACTGGTCCTACTTCAGAAAAATATAACACCAAAGCACAACAAACTTCCACCAATTTGTGGCCAAATGATATCTAAGCTACGTAAATCTGGTGTCCAGTCTTCCTCATTCAAAAAAGTACGAAATTCTGTGCAATCATTGCCATTGGAAACCTGGTTCTGACACGAAAATATTGGTAGACGTTTCCGGTTGCATGGTTATCACGATTTCCATGGTTGGCTTACTCTGCTGTGGCAAACGGTGGTTTTTGCGTCACTTGTGTTCTTTTTGGCAGTGAAAGCACGCATAATGCAAGCGAGCTCCAACGATTGATGACTAGTGCTCTTCCTCCAAGTGCTTCTGCTGTCCAGAAACTATGTCAGCATGGTGAAAAATCCAATGTTCACAAAATGGCAACTCTCCGTGCTACACAGTTTAAGCGAATGATCGAGAATAAGACACTTGGTATCGATGTGCAGCTGAAAAACCCACCCCATAAAAGACCTACGTTGCAACTGACATGCCAAGATGATTGAGTTCGATGTACAGCCCAAATTGGATATTTTTTGCTAAGAAGAACCTGAAATACACAGGAACAGTACGTGCGGTACAGAATTGTGGTTTTATGTAAGTACAGTGATTTTGTAACGTTCTAATGTTGTAACGTTCGCTGAAGAACATGGTATGTTGTTTAAATATTTGACTTATTTAGTGCGTTTCGTTATTTGCTGTCTAAAATATGGCGTAATTAATGACGAATTATATGATAGAATTCGATGCTCAGAACTCAGGAAATGGCATTTCCGGGGTTCAAATTTCAAAAGTTTTCCGGGGGGGGAATGCCCCCGGACCCCCCTAATTATGCTCGGTTTTGGAGTTCGCCACGGTCAGGGTTTAGGCTGGATCCGCGCCTGAAGTGCATCATTACAATACTCGGAATTCTAACAAATTGCATGTCAATTCAGGGCCGTAGGAAGCTCTTTTCGATTGGGGGGGCTGAAAGCGAGGGCCGAAGGGCCGAGGAAATTTTTAAATTTAGAGTCTCTAAAATGCCATTTCCTGGACTTTGGGGGAAGATTTAACAGAATTCTGATAGTCAGAGAACAGCGTTTTAGTATGTCGAAATTTACAGGAAAGTATGGGCCAGACTGTAGTATTATAAATGCGCGGCGGGAATTTTCGTCGTAAATGGCAGTTGCGCGGAAATGAAGGCAGAACATTTGAGAAAATTTCGAAAATCTGGAGTCTCTAGATGGTCTGAAATGGCATTTTCAGAGTTTTCTTTCGCAAGACCCAACACGCAAAAGACAAAATAAATCATTAGTTCATCAAAAATGTGCAGATTTTGTGGGATTTTCTTGAAAATGCGCGACAGAAATGCAGCTAAAATTTCTACGCGAGGAACGATCTGGAGTATGAGTAATATCTTCATTCTTTGCAGTTTGTCACAGATTAAATGATAAAGTTTGCATGATTTTGAAAAAAGAATGATTATTAGCAAATTATTGGGGGGGCTGCAGCCCCCCCGGTTGCTACGGCCCTGCAATTATAGTAGAACTAATTATGCAAAACATACTATTGTTAACAAGGGAGTTAAAATATGGAACTCTCTTGATATAAAAGGAACTAGCAATACTATGTTTTATTCTACTTTTAAGAAAAAGTTGAAAAGCCTTTTCTTGGAATATACCTAACGGCTTTCATTTGTAATCTCACATAATAAACTCTTGTGTATATTTATATTCAAATCACTATATTTGTAAATACTCTTACTTTGTCTTTGACAAGATTGAACAAGCTTTAAACTATTTTTATATAATAATTAATATTTTTAAACTAGGGCCTTTGAATAAAAGCCTGATAGGGTTTCATAAAGGTTCCTAGCCCTTAATGTTTGTAAAAAATATAGATTGTAAATATATTTAGCTTTATATGGGCAAATAAAAAAATATTCAGTTACAAGTTGTATGGAAACATTGAATTTTTTACACAACAGGGAATGGAGAAATACAATGACATAACATCAAAAAATTACTTTCGATCAACTAACCATCAAGGTGTTTCTGCCATTAAGCAACTTTTCCGAAAGCGAAAGCGTGCTCAGCATTTGGAGGCAGCTGGTTGTGAACGAGAAAAGTGAGAGTATTGCTGTACAAATTGTCATGTAGCTGGACATACAATCAAAACATGCATGACTGCCTGTAAGCATTGTAAATTTACAACACACTGTGCTCACATTATTGAGGTTAATGGAAACTATTACAAGTGGACAATTAATGGTACATTGCTGCTTAATGGGTTAACACAAGGATAACTTGAAACAACCCTAGGAATTAGTTTAGTTACTGCATTTTCCTATTACATGCCATAAGAATATGTGCCCATAAAATGCTATTACTTCATAATCCCACAGAATGATTGCCATAACTCGATAAATTTAATTAGTTTGGCAATTGTTATGAAAATATCATAGGATGGTCAAAATTTCTGCACATGACAGACTGGTAATAATGCAGGCTGGTTTATACAATTTGGTAGCACTATTGACACAAATGTAGACACAACAGGCATTAACACTTACTAGGTTCATGTCTACCATTTAATATAAATCTAAAATTTACACATTTTCATGATGTGCATATCAATATGTATTCATATGTTCAAATTATGTTTTTTAAATATTTGTGTGCTCGTATTGACTTTTATTTCCATCGCCTCTTACAAAAGTGAAGACTACCTGTGTAGCGTTCTCGATGACTGATTTCAACACTTTTCCATGGCCAACAAATTTATATTCAATAATAGGTGATTTTCTCACCAACCAAAACTTCAGAGTGCCATTGATGACATAGGCAAAATCACCATTGGAGTTAAAAATTCTTTTGTCCCAATTAATGCCTAAAACTTCGTCCACTTGTTGGATTCCATATATTGCACCAATCGTCGTCCTCTTTCCTTAAAAGCTTTCGTCGACAAACTTGCCAGAACATTATTATAAACGTCCTCCTGCGCGTCAATTTCAATACGTATTTGGGGATCATTCTTCTTCAACAAATACAGCTTTTTAAAAAAAAAATTTCTATACAACTTAGAGCGCAATATATCGGATCTATCATTCATACTTGCTTCCGATAAAACTGGTACCTTTTCTTGTCGCACAAAGGGAAAATATTTGCCGTCAGTATCAGCATTTCCAAATGGCCTCCACTCATCATATTTGCTACTATAGCCTTTGTAGTGAATCTGCACTAGATTTCTGTCTCTGTCAACTTCTTGTACCTCAACCTCATACAACGAATTGTCTTTCTTTTTTTTGGCTGGTTTTAGATTAGATATCGCAGTGGATTCAAAGGCAAAACAGTCTGGCGCTCGACGCACATGCTTTGGTCTTTCCACCATATTGCCTTTGCTATATGGCACGTATACAATTTCAGTCAAAGGGCCTGGACCCCAAATTAAGCAAATGTTCATTTGCGTACAGTAAAAGTTTGATATGTAGTCAATTATAATAGACGTTTATAACTTGTCTTAATATTTGATGTATGTAAGACAAATAGTATATATACAAATAGTCAATATTCTAACAAGATCTATAATAGTTCATAACTTGCCTTAAAATTTTAATGTATGTAGGACAAATAGCAGTATACTTAAAGCATCCTATTATGTAAATATAAAGTATTTCACCTTGGTGCAATTTTATATATGTAATAAACCTTTAATAATAATAATAATAACAAAAAAATAACCCGAGGGCCGGAATCCAAGTATTCCAGCTAAATCGATTAAGTGTTGTTGATGTTTGCTACTTTCGGTAGCTTATTCACTTGGTTATTTGAAGACTATCTTCATGCCACATGGTAGTGAGGTTATGTTGTACCGTATCTTTAAACAAAAGTTACAGTACATGTATTTATTAAACGATTTGTTGAACTACCACATTTAACATTTTTATTAGGAGTGCCTTGGTATTATTTTTCAAGATGAAAACACTTCGGATGGTATACTCAAAGTGTTGAAGCATTTACATGGATTACATACCAGTGTCATCAGACGAGAATCTTTATGCATTGCATGCAGCAGGTGTTGTGGGTGATCTGCTAACAATAGAACAAGCCATCAACTGTCTAATGTCATTGTCAAATGGTTTCAGTGCTGACAAAAGTATGGAAGGATTAGACTGTGAAATTGCTGACTGGCACACAGATCTTAAGTTTCTTTTTGTGAGTGTCATAGTTTGCTTTTCCTGTACATGCATCTATTCATCATTCACTAACAATAATTTTGCAGAAAAGTTTTCCCAACATAACAGGAATATCATTGGCAGGAATGTCACAAAAGAAACTATTTTAAAACAATTAATTAGAGTGATGACTTCACTTGCATAAGTGAAGGGCCATTTGATAGTCACCTCGGCTGGTAAATTAACTAGGGATCCAAGGATAGTGCAGAGTTTCAAAGACGGACGCTATAAGACATGCTTATAAATTGAATAGCTTTGCAAGCATGGTTTATAGCCTTAATCACATGTTGCAGTAGCTGGCGGAACTGTTACAACAGTAAAAAGGCTAAGATCTGTTTAAATATACTAATATAACTAATATAATACTTTACGGATGAAGAATAACGAGAGTTACGTAATATTATTTATTTCCTCATATAATATTATAGTGACAAGGCATAATTTCTGTTATTTTGTAAAGTTTGAAATTGAAAGACACCGCAATAATTATATAGGATCGCCGACAAACCTAGAAAAGCTGATAGGTTACACCACGAAATAAACAGTTACCATAGGCATTTTACTCATCTATTGTTTTTTTTATCGGCACACGAATAACCCCATGTTCGAAACATGCCTAACACATCAGAAATGGAACTGACACAATTTATGTTGTGGTAAGTATCCCTACAAGGCTACTGATATGCTAAACTTATTTAAATCTATGATTATTGCCAATGCCATTATCATTTTAGCGCCCATATTGTAAATTTGACTGTTGTCCCAGTCACAACTTTAATTGAAATAGCTGTATAAGATATGGTCTGAATAATAAGCACTACAACGTTGCATTCCATTACAAAAAAACATAAATCTAAAACACGGAAACGTAAAAAAGAGGCGATTTTATCCAAATCCGTTTCGCAATTTAACTCCATACCCGTTCCGTGGATCCGCTCCGTTTCGCCTCCGCTTCCGCATTTTAACCTAATCAATAACAAGCTCACTGACCTTTGAGTTATTTTGAAGGTCACGTGTTCATGCATGATTCATTTTCAGCTTTTCGCATGCAATCAATATTTCAATGGTTTCACAGTTATAGCAGTGTTTATAGCAGTTCTGACAAGTTTTGATACAGATAAATTCTCGTAAGATAGAGTTCTCGTTGCACTGAACACGAGTTTGCACCATTGTGCTATATAGACACGTATAGTAAACCAAGTTTTTCTCAATATTTATGTCCGAAATGTTTATACATTTGAAAACAACACAAACTGATATCGGCAGTTGAATTCCCGTAAATCTGAATGCATAAGTCATATTAACGTCAATTTATATATTGCGTAGTATCTCAAAGATTTTCTCAATAATATATAATACACGTCTGAAAGGTTTATACGGTTGAAAACAACACTGCTAGCTCTGCACAATGAATATACCGTCAAACTAATATCGGCAGTTGAATGCCCGTAAATGCGTAATGCATAACACCAATATATATTGCATAGTAGGCTACGCGATCTCAAAGATTTTCTCAACATAATAGACGTCTGAAATATTTATACATTTTGAAAACAACACTGTCTCGCTGCTTCCTAGCTCTGTATAATGAATATACCTTCAAACTAATATCGGTATTTAATTGAATGCCCGTAATGCATAACATCGATTTATACATTGCGTAGAGTCTCAAAGATTTTCCTCAATATATTAATACACATCTGAAATGTTTATACATTTCAAAACAACACTTGTCTCGCTACCTCCTAGCTTTGTATAACGAATATACCGTCAAAATACTACCGGTATTTAATTGAATGCCCGTAATGCATAACATCAATCTATATATTGCGTAGATTCTCAAAGATTTACTCAATATTCACATCTAAAATGTTTATAATTTGAAAACAAAACTGTGTCGCTCCAGCGCTCGTTCTTAGCATCGTCTCGCCATCGTGATCTACTACGGCTTGATAGCGCATGCGCATTTGCGTTCATAAAGAAAAAATGGGTTTTCCGGGGGAAAGATCCTTCACACAACATGAGAAGCGAATGTTATAAAATTTACGAAAATTTACAATAACGATAATGATTTCTCGAAATTTTTGTGAACTTGGTAAAAAGGCAAAAGAATATTTAAATAAAACAACTGAAATTGCCTAAATGACCTTCAAAGCACAATAAATCACTACAAACATAAATCGTATACACATAATACACCCCCCGGAAAGTTAACACTATGACTGACTGACTGACTGATGTGAATTTTCCCACTCATCCCAATAGTGCACAGTTTCAAAGCAACTCTGCACTAAAAAAGTAAACCTTCACTCTTTAGCTATTTACATGTTTATATAGTACATATGTATATACAAGAATTTATATATCATTATCCAAAATTTTCTTTTTAGCTTATATTCAGATGACTAAATTGTACAAAGGCTGCAGATGATAAATGCACATTGTTTGCGGACAGAAACTTAATCAATCGAAGGAATGTGTCAGAAGATACTGACCATGCTTATGCACAGAACAAGCAAATGTTAATCATAGCACTTAAATCCAGGGTACTTGTTGCAGGCATGAATGTTCTTGGACTTTCAGAGATTGATGGAAAGCCAACAGGATTGACATACCCCTCCAATACCTCAAGAAATGATCCAGAAGAAAAGCGAAGATATATACGGAAAATTGCATCTGCAATTGTTGATGAAATTGTCTTGGATAAAACTGTGACTGACCATACAGTAAGCTCTGTACTTCTCTGTGAAGATCAAGCAAAGGCTGAAAGGAATAGAAATGCAACACCTGATGGTCGTTTCGAGTGCAGATTTGCTGGATGTGAAAAAACCTACAACTGCAGAGAAGTTTTATTAAAGTCAAATTAGCATGACTTTGTTTTAGTAGCAATACAATTCAATGTGTTGCTACAGCTAATGAAACTTGTTGCAAAATGTTGTTGTGAAACAAGATGCATATGAATTTTGCAACGTACAGTATGACATGCAGGTTTACTTTATAGCTATTGAGTTTCACAAACATGTTTGCTGCAAGTATTGCAAAAAGTAAAACTCGTTTTCCACTACGAGAAATTGTTCATGCATCAGCAAAATTAAGCAATGTGATTGGTTAGCGACAAAATTCACCACAAAAAAATTAGAACTAATCCATCTTTTTATTTGATCACTTGTCGCGCAAACAAATTTGCGTGGTGGAAAACAGGGTATTATATTGTGAGTGATATTGGGTATTATATTGTGAGTGATATTGGGTATTATATTGTGAGTGATATTGTGCACAATTGAGGAATAGTGGCAACTCATTTTTGCATCATTGAACAGTGTAACATACCCTAGTCAATAAGAAATATTTCCATTTATTAATTACCTCCCATAATAATTAATATCGGTCATTATTGTGAAACAAATAAACATTACTTGTCTCACAATAATGACTGATATGTGTCACACATCTGCTAATGGAATTGTCTTTCCTGTAGGCATGATGGCAAAAGCAGAATATCACATGAATTAAAGGAACATGGATATGTTCATGAAGGAGAACCATTCTCAGCAACCATTCCTGGAGCTTCAGAAGATGATGGGAAAGATGACAAAGACGACATGTATAACTATCAGTGCAACCTAATGGATCATGGTATGCTCTGCCTAAATTTTACTGATTCAATTGCTGAAGGGGATGGGGACAGAGTAGTTAGATGTTGGAAGTTCTTACTGCTACATTTTTGTCGATGGCACTAAAAGCACTAAGTATGCACTTGAAGCTTAATATTTGCTATTGCAGCAACTATGCCTTCACCAAGACAAGCATACTGTCAAAAATGGAACCGCACCATCAACAATCACAATGCGAAAGGTAAAAATGTTGCACTAGATTTAGACCTGGAACATGATAACAATTATTTGAAAGAAGCCTTGAGAAAGATGGACCCTGCTCTAACAGAACAGTTAGTGACAAGGGTATGTAGGAGTTTGAAAATTTCTCGTGAAGTGATAGAGAATCTTTTGTGCGAGTGTGAGGTTATGAAACGATCTGGAATCCACTTCACTGCAAATAACAACAAGGATTTTGTTAAGATTGTCAACAATCTTGTGCACCATGGAGCTTTAATCAAGAGTAAAGGCAGGCGACTTTCGAACTTTAAGTACCGTACAGCATCCCATCTTCAACTGACAAAAATGGATGAACTATGCAAGTGGATCGATAAGCATAAATATGAAATAATTATTGCTAGAAAAGCCCGTTAGCTTCTCAAATTAAAGGACTGGACTTCTTGACTTTATTATTTAAGAGGCAAGTTTTTTCAATGTCACATAGCCTATTTACAATGAAAAGTATTCAAAATAGCAAAACTTACTGAACTTCAGACATCATTTTCTCTTTGGCATTGTCATCTAAAATCTTTTCATTTTAGCATTATTTTACAGATAAAGCACTAAACATACTTTTTAAGTTTGTTTGCTCATTGAGAAACATATGGAAAAATAAAAATTTTGAATTTAGTCATAACCTCAAGTGGTATATTATAGTATACGCAGCATTAGTTTTGAGTGTGTGTCACGTAACATACAAAATCTCCTCTTAAAGAACTTTTTCATTATTTACTGTAGATCTGAACTTATTTTGAAATATATATGATTCATATTTTTTTAAATGGTTGATTTTGTGTTTGCAATACAGCTGTGTAATTGATGTAATTGTAAATAATTATGTAAACATCATACATGTATGTTACTTAATACCAGTTTGATAAAATATTTTGAGCTGTTATATCATTTATTATAATGTTCAAAATAAATGTGGAAAGATAAGGGTCCAAAGTACAAAGTATGGCAAAATAAACCACCATTATATACCAGAGGTAAGAGACTTACATAGATTGATAGAGCCTTCGAGGGAAGAGAGGTATTAAACTCCTTGAATATGAATCCAATGAGATTAATAATTAATTCAGACTCTAAGTCACTCTTCACTTTGACTATCATTCCATGTATTAGTTCATCAATAAATGTTAACAAATCATTAACTACAGTATAGACTCTATATAAGGACAGTATCCATTAACTATAAGTATATAACCAAAGAATGTTTATTAAGTTGAAACATTCTATGAACAGGGAACACATCAAGAACTAACAAAGACGTTTATTCATGTATGTAATGGATTACATTTAATCTTACCTCAAATGATTGACCCAAAATATTTATTTCAACATCAATTCTGTTTCACATTATTAATCATCAGCATTGCCAATTTGGTCTAGTACAGTTTCAAGAATTGCCAGACAACCTGATTGTTCCATGGAATTATCGTTTGTTTGCGATTCATCAAGAAAATCAATGTACATGTCAGATTCACCTAAAAGTGAAAGAAACGATGGATCTTGACATATCTCATCCGATTCAGTATAGTCCTCATGACTGTGATCATCATCACTTGAATCATCACTATCCAACATTGGATTTATGTCCAAATCTTGAAACATAGAAGAGAAGACGTCCAAAACTTGTAATGCATGTGTCCTTTGCCAAATGTTAACATACTTCATGTTATCATCAACACTGAATATACTAGAAAATACATGCATGCAGAAACCCTCGCCTTGCTGACAAAACCATTGTATGTTCCGAACACGAAGTTCTAAAATAGTTGTCATGGTAACACGATAATTTTTTAAGAATATTCTTACAAATGAAAAATCGCCTAAAAATATCACTTTTAATTACAAAATCATTAATTCCCAACATATATATCTTAGGTATGTTATTATACGTAATATAAGCCTCAATTTAAGGTAAAATTCAACCACAAACGCTTCGCAAAACGTTTTAAAGTGCTCTTTAACTTAACTACCTTTAATTATTAAAATGGTTTATCGATAAACTTTGAGTTTGCAATAAAATGATTTCAAATTTTCGCTTGCAAATAACTTTGCTTTCTTTTTCATTTAAAAAATTCAATATAATACAAAAGGGAATCAATATTAAAGATACACTGAAATTATATTCTGTCTTGTTTAGTTGTTTCATATACAGTACGCAAAGGCCGTCGGGTTTTAAAGCCATTATAAAATCAATATTTAAAACAAACTTACCTTCGTTAACGTCGGCTCCCTTCTTTTAGTCGATTCTTTCGCAGTTTCTTTCTCCGAGAGCTTTTGAAATTTACAAAATATTGCAAAAATGCGAGTAAAAATGAAGTATATTCGCAAGAAATTTATCTATCATGAATCATCAAATCAAGAAATGTTTGCTATTTCGCTGACGTGATGCAGTCGTTTATGCAAACTTTAAATTGGACCAATCAGTGTCCGCTATTCATGACAGTCCGCCATATTTTTGAGGTCAGTGAGGATGACCACCCATCGTGACCCACGCCCGCGATATTTGATGAACTTTAGACTCCGCTAATGCTTTCGTTTCCCCGGGTGTAAATAGCCGGGGGGAATTAGTACCCTCGCACGGTGCTTCGCGCCGCCGGCTGGGGGAATATGTGCATGTTGAACTATCTGCTCTACTTCTTTAATACAAAACTCCAATATGTTGTTGGGAAATGAAACTGCAACAGGCCTATTGTTTTCCCCTGCAACTTGTTTCATTAGGACCTTTTTAACTAACAAATTCAATTTTTGTCTTAATTCTTCTTTCAAATCATCAGACATATTCCTACCTTTTGTTGGATTAGCCTCTCCCATATTTAATGATTTCAGGAGATGATTTACATTGCATATCCCATTGTTTACACACACATGTCTTTGCACAAATGTCACAGCACATGTGCCCATGTTGATTCTCAAATGTAAGTGTATTATGAAAATGTTGCAGTAAAACTTTACGACGACAGGTTGTAGACCGAATGTACTGCTTCATATCAGTATCAGATGCTCGGATGGTAATGCCATTAAATAATAAAACAGCTTTACTTGGTTCATTTCTTCCACACGTACCACTTTCTTGCATCTACTGACTTTGAAGGGCCAAAATGAATGACTCTTGTGACATTCTTTGAGTTTACTACCATTCCATATGCAGTTGTAGCAATCAGCACTCTTAAGTGGCTGTGTGCAACAGAAAACTGATTTAAAACATGATTCTTTACACTCTCTGGACTACATGAATACATCATTTCACATAACCGCATTTGTGGTTCAGTGCTGCCATCACAAAATATCTTAGGACCTAGTTGAACGTTTAAGACATTGAATATAACTGAACACTGTTTAATAGTTTGACAATATATAATTGTTCGAATTGTGCATCTACCATGTTCTTTAAGCTCATTTACTAAGAATAAAAATTGATCTGTTATATAGTACCATCCATTTTCTCCACAGTATACAAAATGTTTGGGCGATTGGGATCTTCAGAAATTTCATAAGGATTGCTAATTTCCAAAATGTCAAATATTTTCTGTTTAGTCTTCTTTGTTGCTGTAGCTGTTAAAGCCAAAAATGGTATATCACATCCTATCAATGATTTCAACTCATTTAGTTTCGAATACCACACACGAAACGCTGTTTTTCTCTTGTTATTTGATGATGTACCCCATTCAACTACATAGTGAGCTTCATATACCACAATACCAATCAGTCTATCCTGGTATATTTTTCTTTCCAACACGAATCGCCACCGTTGATTTGAGAGACACGACTCTGGTAACATGAACATACCTCTCTCTGTTTCTTCGCAACCTACACATGCAGCTTTAAGACCAATCTAACAAGAAAAAAAAACATTATAATGATCATATGTTTTAAAAAAGTACAGACATACCAACTTTCACACGTTTAGCTCACACATTTAACATCTTTCTTACGCTCACATGCATAGATACTATTTTATCACGCATTGTTGTATGATAACCTAGTAGACAACCTCCTATGTTATAAGAAATCCCACCGTTTTTTGGTACATAAATTCAGATAAATCAATAGGTAAAACATGAATAATTTCTTGAACAGTTGTTGTGCACCGACAAAAGGAGGATATACTAAATAAACTCCAATATAGATAATTTTTAAAATATGTCTGAATAGTGTTGTCTTTTGAGATTTTTCATGACATTTTTGTGTGTTAATTTAGAATTATGTAAATCTTATCCTTTTAAAGTGTATAAAATATGGCATTTCAGTGAATCAACCGACCCCCATAGAAAGTCTCACACCTTTGGTGCATGGTGCTCATTGGGCCATTCCATTTCATATCTGCACCCCCCCCCTATTGAGGGATCTGGAAATCCTATGGGGGGAGGGGGTTTTTTATCTTAAAATTTCCTAGAGGGTAGTAGCTTAAGAAATGTTAAAAAAATAGCAAAAATTAGGTGTTTTAATGATATCCAAGGGGGTAAAAACGATATCCAGAAGGGGGTATAAAGATATCCATGGGGGTAAGTTCCAAAAATCACATCCAAGGGTGTTCTAAAAATTTTTATATCCTAAGGGGATTATGAAGGGACCCTCAATAGGGGGGGGGTGCCTATATTAAATGGAATGGCCCAATTTGGGCCCCAATTGCTAGAGCCACTCCGACACCTCGGTTTCTCACTCATTTTCAAGTTACCAAGTTGGAAGGTCTGAGTACATCCACAATCTGGCCCATTTATATCTGTTCTACATTAATAAATTAATACAGGTATAAACTCATTTTGTGTAAAATGTAGTGGAGTATCCGCCTCCTGTTCTTTTACATTGAAGTTGTGTTTTCCTTGAATGTGTTTAAGAAATAGGTGAAGATATTAAAATAGACATTAAAATAACACAGTGATTGATCATTGACCGGAATATGAATAAAAGACTATTAATATTCGAGATAAATATATTAAAAACGTATTGTATATATTTTACCTCATTCAAACGCTTGACTTGATCCTTCATAAGGGTAATAAGAGGACTAATAATAATAATAATTGGCTCTTTTGTCCATATATTTGCGTTGGGAGCATGTGAATACATCCACATTTCAGCTAACAGGGCAAGATGAAATACTAGGGACTTTCCAGAACCAGTTGGCATGTTCACAAACACGTCAGTATTTTGCATAAAATTATATAAAGCATCACACTGACCGCTCTTTAGACTCTCAACTTGAAAAACATGGCAGATATCTTTTACACAATGACTAAATAGGTTTAAATCAACTTCTCTACGAGGACTTCGCTCATTTCGAAACGCCATATTTCAATTTACTATAAATTAATTATCGGTAATTATAAACTAGCCAATCAGAAGCGATGACCAGAATCAGGTCATATGGACGTCATCAGTATGGAATGTTTGGGGTTATTTCGCAGACAGACTTATCATGACAAAGGAGTGAATCAGGCCGGCTGTACTCGCAGGCTAATTGACTTTGGGAACATGAAATCTCTTGACTAATGGCAAAGAAATACAAGGAAGTGTACAAACACATTGCACCAGAAGTCTTGAAGGGATCTCTGTTACATCTGCCAGTGATATATGTATTCACTTGGGAGAGTTCTTCAGGTAATTGGGAAGAAATCAGCAGCACAATATTAACCCCAGCTACTGATATTAACCCCACAAAAAAGCCCACTCTTATGAAAATATTGACCATGTTGAATACAGAGAATATCCACAGCTTAGATGCATTAAGGAGGCTATAAAAAATGAAGAATAAATCAAAAGTTAAGTTGGATAAAGTAAACAGGATTGATAACCAGGATAATATTTAACTCATTAAGTTTCAATGTGCTCTACTTTGTTATTTTACTCTGTCTAATGCTAGATGATTTTAGTGTTCAAAGGGAAAGTGTGGGACATTAATGGCATAATTGGCAACAGGTTGTGGCAAGGAATTAATGAGTAACTTATTTAAATAATATGAACAACTTAATAAAATCTAATAACTTGTATAAATTATGTGAAACACAGTCCTAGTGGAAACTCTTGTGCTGTTAAGATGAATTGTCTTTCGGCAGCAGGTTGTCAAGATATTGTGTCTTTCGGCAACCAGTTGGCACTAGTGTAGCCAGCCTGACGATTTTGTTCCGCTATGCAAATATTTCTGTGTTCATTGACTGTGAAAACAATCAATTTCTAAAGAAATGAATAATGATAATAATTTTGAATTTGCATAGCAGGACTAAATTGTCAGGCTGCCTACACCACTGCCAGTTGGATCTTGAATGTGTTTTTATTGGTCCGGTATTTTCTAAATATATAGCTAACATGCAAGGAATTAATGAGTATACCTTGTTAAATAATATAAATAACTTAATAAAATCTAATAGCTTGTATAAACTATGTGAAACCACGGTTAATCGAAGGAGACTGGTTAGGCTAGCCGGCAAACTTCAAAGGGTCTCTGAAATTATGTTGGGAACCGCAAAAATAAATGTCACGTGGTGCGATCCCTGCATCAACAAGGAGTGATACTAAGAAAACATTAAGAGATTTAGAGTGTTTTGCAAAATTTAAGCAATTTTTATACCTTTTTCGCAAGTTGAAAATTTTTTTTATGGATACACGGCGTTTATGGACATCCCACAGGAAAAATATAAAATTATAATGATTCAAGTAACAAAAAATCGAACGTAAAGCACCAAGGTTGTTTGACACTCGTATTGACAGATCAAGCCAAAGCAAGTCTGAAATTTACCTAGAAGATTCTAAAAATGAAGACTATAATCTTGAAGTTACCGTGGCTGTTACGCAGGCTGAATGAGAGTGAATTTAATGACGCTTTGAGCGAAATACATGGTGAAAAATCGTTCCCTTGTCCAAAGTGTGACAAATTGTGTACTAAAGTCTATTAATTTAAAGGCGGCTTAACCAGACACACAAATTCGAAGCACTGCGAATTTTCTTCCCAGCAAACATCACCAGAATTGCATATTTTTGCTACAATACTGTTGCGTCGATTGTGGAATCGATCAAGTCGCAATTATAAGAGAAAAATTGTGTGGGGTTGAAATGAGCAACAGCGCCAAGACTGCATCATGCACTCAAGCTTTGTTTTGATGCTTTATTCAAGCTAAGTTCTGTTGAAACTTGACCAAGCTGAGCGTGAACCTTTGTCGTATGTCGCAGGTTATATAGTATCAAAACTTTTCCAGACAAATAAACAAACGTGTGGGGTGTAACAATGACGAACTAAATTGTGCTTGGAAAATGTCATCAAATTGTTGAGGAAGGTCACACTTTTATATGCAAGGGACTATCTGAACAAGGAAGGGCCTGAAAAGATTAGCTATATCAGCAACATAAACTGTTGACAATCATGCAAATTGTGAAAATGATTGGAAACTATACATGTGTTATCATTATACCACACTCTGACCTCGACTGACATTAGCTCTTGCAGCAACAATATGTAGGCTCCAAAAGTGAGAGGTGTACCAGATTACCAGAGTTACATATATGGTAAATGCTCTTGATTAGGTCTAATATAAATATAGATATGTATAATTCAGAATTGAAGGTTTTGTATACATTCTGTATATTCCTAATAAGCGATTGAGATCTGGTGCAGGGAACGGACCACGTGACCCTTCAAAACAAGGTTGAATAACATAATTTGTCACAATATATTGAAAAGGGGCTTTACACCATTTAAAACGGGTGTTAAATGCAAGTAAAGATGGAGGAAGATTTATTAAAGGCGATCTACAGTCCGATCTGCGCATGTGCACAAAGGAGCCCACTTTTTATGATACAAACAGTTTAACTATGTTTTGGGTTCTTTAAAAGCCTGATTATTGTTTCTTGATCATTTATTATACTCTAGAAGCTTGAAAATATAAATAGTTGTTGAATAAAGCTCAATATTTTGGACACAAAAATGTAAACAAAGGCTTTGTTTACATACGGACTGTAGAGCACCTTTAAGCATTCTTGATGTTTAATTGACCCTTTGCCACAAAATTTAAATACATAGCTTTTATAGAACTTTACACTCAGGAATTAAATCTTGTTAAAGAACATGGGAATAACAATTGCATTTATTCAAAAGTGTAAATGTTTGAAAAGGTGCCTTTTTCCTTTTCATTACACAGTTAAACGTTGATAAAGAATAGATCACTTTGCTAAATATTTATAAAACATTTAACAGGCAAATTAAAGGTAAAATAATGATCATATAGTCTCTTTACCCAGCTTTACACTATAAATTAAATATCTTTAGAGGTCATAAGACAAAATCTGAACTACAATCGTGTATATTTTTTAGTGTAAATGTTTGAAAAGGACACTTAATATCTGTATGTGACATGGTTAAACGTCGATAAGGAACAGATACTACATTTAAACATTTAACAAGCAACTTAAAGATAAAACAATGATTTATCCACTTTACCCAGCTTTACACCATGCAATAAAATTTTAACATTTGCACTGCAGCACTGCTGCAAGGCAGGACTTGCGGGTCAGCCAGCAGCTTGAACTTGAAACCTCTAAATGCAGGCAGTTGTCTTGATGACGAAATGGTCAATGAACAAAGCTTCCAATGTTTTCTGTGTTTGACTTTCTGTCATTCTGTGTAGTTCATCAGAGAAAAAGCTTTCAAACCTCATTTTGAACAACACGTTGACGTTTATACTGCATTATTTTCATTGTTCTGAAGATTTATTATCGATATGGATGCAAGACCTACTCAAGATTATTTGTTTTGCACCCATTGTCAAGAGAATGTGTCCAAATCTTCCTTTTAGATGACGTTTATTAAATTTCGGGATGTTTGAACTGTAGAATGAACGATAATTTGTTGTTCACAAATCAGTCAATCACACTATAGTATTAATATATAACTATAGTATTAAATTAGTATAAACTAGACACTAGTCTAATTTCTGTATTATTTATCTGTCAATCTGATGTAGCATCTGGGGAAAGCACTAAAGGCCATACAGTGAAACACCTTGCGCCCGCGATACTTACTAAATGTCGCGACAGTGGTCAGCGATCATAAAATGAAAATTACATTTTTAAATTCTTTTTGCGGGAAATACAAAACCACAATGGCCGGTGATTTCAAGTATTTCGATGTTCCGATCACAACGAATTGCGGTTATGTTTATTCGTGTAAACGAGCTGAGGAAGCTGTGAGGGAATTCGAAACGCGAACAACGTCCAAGTATTCCTGCTACAAATCTAGATCATCCTTTGGCAAGACAGGTATGTGATCATTAATAATTCATGTTGAAAATTGACTTTATAAATATTGATAAACCGGCAAGATCGATCGACTGGTTTGTAAGCGATTTTGTTTGTTCTATTTTACGTCGACAGATTTGAGCAAAACTAAACATTGGATCCGTTGGGAAGATGGTAATAAGGACATGTGTAGTAATGCAGGACTGGAATTTGATGGCATTCCTTTTATAATTCTGGATGCAAAATTACTTGACTGCCAACATGGTGTGGATCGGCACAACAGGAGAAAAATTAAGGCGCAGAATAACACAGTGAGTTGAGAATAAAGTGTGAAGTTAAGCTTGGTAAAAGTAATTCGGGGATTTCAGACTGGTCCCTGTTTTTATTGTCCTTGAGAGAATGGTTGGGTGGGGGGGGGGGGTCGGTACGCCATACACCAAGTTAGGTATCAAGCATATTGACATGAATTAGGAACAGTGATATCAAAAATTTTCTCCATTTATCAAAGAAATTTTTCTAAAATTCTGAAAATTTTTTCTAAAATTCTGAAAAATTTCATGGATTTTCTAAAATTTTTGTAAATACACCTTATTTTTTTTCTCCAAATTGACAGTTATTTTTGTAAATTAACTTTCTCTGGTCCTATGAATTACCTGAATTTGCGTTGATTTACCTGAATTTCTTCTGCAAATCTACCTGAATTTACCTGAAATTGCTCATATGAGCAATCATTAGGGGGGTGTTACACCCCCCCCCCGGTCCCTACGAGCCTGTTTAAGAAGCACTTGTTTTCCCTCGGAACATAGCTCCATACCCCCCTTCCCAATGATCTCAAAGGCTAACCTAGTGAAAGTTAACCTTGTGAAATGTGTGGAGGAGGTACGATGTATAATATTCTTTGTATAATCTTTTATGTGGAATTCTGCAAAATCCCACCTCCTTGAAATCACATTTCAGGGATCTGTAATTCAATCCCCCCCCCCGCCTAGCCAGTCTCATGCCTTCACATCGCCCCCTGTTATGTCTTAACCTACACGGCTAAAACTAATCAAAGTACAACTCAAAATATGTATTGCATTCTTCATAAATACATACAACTACTCATATGCCAGAGTACATAAACAACTAAAGTCCAATAGTTAATTTATGCATGTTCACATGCACATGATATGCACAGGATGCAACACCCACTCCCCCCCCCAAAAAAAAAGAAATCATTAAGAGGAGGGGAGTAAAAAGCTAAGAATTATTGTCTAATGGGTCATTCTAGAGAAAACCACACCTCTCAAATTTCCTGTGTGGGGTTTTCTGGAATGTGGCCAGTTTTACTAACTTTAATTAGCTCTATCCAAATACATTCTACTGGTAGGGCAGTTAATGACTCACTAATTGTCATCAAGGGCCTTGCAGTTAGGAAAAACCACAATTTTGTAGTGATGGATGAAATCCAGTTGGAGAGCTTGACACCATTTCTTTAAGAAAACCATGTGCCCTAAATTTCTCAACTCTCTAACACAAGCGTTGAACAACTTGCAGTGCATGAGGTTAAAAACACAAAAAGACTTTGGATGAATGTGGACTTTGCAACCATAAAGAAGATCTTTGTGCCAATGAATCCCTCGGGTTGTCACTGGAATCTCTTGGTATAAAGTTGGACTTTCCAACATCACTTTTGCATTACATAACCAATGTCCAGTCCTATTGTTCAACTCTACTGTTTAGCCATCAGCAATAAAACTAAGATAAACACATAAAGCACATAAAGTTATAAAGATTACATTTGAAACATCTGTCACCAGATTAAGGTTTACAGTAAGCATTATAGATTTAAAACAACACAGTGCAAATTTGGAGACTTACAAGAATAGCATAATTAGCATTAGCATTTTCTTGAAAAACTAAATATGAAAAAGTTCAAATGTTTAGGTTTTGGATGAATCAAACAAAACCAGAAATTATTTTGATCCAATGAATGGACAGAAAGAGGAAGATCTTACTGAGATGCCAAAACATGCTTGGTTAAAGTATATGATTGATAAAATATGGTTAGTACTGTCATAAGAGATACACTATTAATTAATTACATGCAGATTATAAAATCTCCAGTTGGAACAAAGCCCTGGGATATGTTACATCTTGAATCTTTAGTACAACTGATTTGTTCAGTTTTTAAGTGACAATTTCTGCATAATTATATATATTTACAATTATAGTGATCTTGTTGACAAAAAGACAGGTTGGAATACCAATACATGGCCGGGCATAGAACCACAACACTATTCACAGAAAGATGGATATAACTGTGGGATAATGGTTTGTGTGGTAAGTTAACTGGTAAGAAGATTTATGAGAAGCTAAGCTTCTTTCTTATAATTCTTATTTGTAATAAGGAAAACGCACTAAGATAGACTCAAACCCACAACAATTTACATTCAATTTATTTGCAATGATTCTTGTAGCTACTGTACAATGACTTGTCTTCAGTGCAAATCATCGTAAAGTATGGTACAGTACATGCTACTGTATAATCACACAGCATATAGGTATTAATAACAAAGTACAAATTTTACCATCTGCTTTAATTTTACACCAACAGTTTGCTGAGCGACTAATTGAGGGGAAAGATCTCACAAAACCCATTAACTGCACACAAGAGAGAGTGAGGATTGCATCTGAATTATTCAAACATTACAAAACATCCATCTGCAAGTAAAGGTAAAGTATCAAAAGACTACCATCAAAGTTAATGTAAATTAATTAAATGCAGAATGAGCCTCTTACTCTCTTAGAGATCTAGTACAAGGAAAGTATTGGGATATATAATAGACTGGATTGTGTCTGATATTGTAAGGAGGCAGTTACTATTCAAAAAATGATGGGAAATTAAATTTAAAAATTGATAATGAAAAGTTTATCTATCACATATTGTCATCAGTAGACCTATACTGGATTATAAACAATTTTCTTTGTTTTTTTTTTGTTTAGGAAGAAAGGAACTCAAGACAATAAATTTAAAGTGCCTATGTCATGATTCGTGTAATTTATTATTGTAATCATCGGTGTATTTTATGAAGAAATGCAATATATCTTTAAAAGAAAAATATTCCATCTTCACAGGTTATCATGCCTCAAAGTTACCGGATATGACATCAAACCGGGAATTGCAAATTAGATTTCTTTTGTTTCTAGCGTATAAAATTCGTGATTTGATGTCATATCCGGTAACTTTGAGGGCTGATAATCCTATGAAGATGGTATATTTTCTTATAAAGATATATTGCATTTCTTCATTAAATGTACCAAAGATAAAAAATATTTAAAATCCCAAATCATTACATAGGCACTTTAACACTAATACAGTATAGCCTGTGCTATGCAGCACATCATTTGGTAAAAAAATACCATGTCTCATGGATTATAGGTTTTAAATAACAAATAATATACAGTACAATCACTGTATAAACCCATTGCAGTTGTCCGTAAAATCTCACTATGCCATCTGGAGGGAAATTTGAAACAACCTGATACTCGGTAGAGGAAAATAAACTGGATATCGTGTCCCAAACGATATTAGTCCAACACATTTATTTTCTTGGGTCTTTAACCCATTCAGTGTCGCCGCTGTGCTCTCCCCGTGACAAGCAAAATTGTCTGGCATTAGACAGATTGAGTTAAACAACAAAGTAGGGTTCAAATTAATGGGTAATAAAATGATACCATGCAGCTATATTTGTAGCAGGGTTGGCCGTTTGTAGGTTCCTGCCATATCTCACACAGGTTGTGATGAGGGCCAGTCATGGCAAGGGTTGGGTGAAGCCGTGAGGGCAAGGTGGAGAATGGAGATTAATTAATTTACTGTGCAATGTCCTTGTGTTGTAACACATGTGTATTGTAATGTGCCGTAATAGCACACTGAGACCTTGTGTTGGACCAGATGCCATCTTTACGCATAGTCATCATAACCAAATGTTTGCAGTGGTCTTATTGGATAAATAAGAGGTGATAGGTCTACACACACTGTAATTTGTATATATACTGGTATTATATTAACTTGATATTCAATGCCTAAACATTTCTAAGTTACCTTAATTAAACACTATGCATAACATTATGGCTTAGTGATCTTACTTACAACCTTGGCAAAAAGTTTATTAATTTAATGAAACACCTAAATTGTATAAAAAATCAATAAAATAGACAAAATCCCCTCCCCCCTGAACAATGTTTGCCGCATAGAGTCTAAAAAATTGTGTTCAATAGTTCATTGATGGCAAAGAGCACTATGTGTACTGTGTAGGTTTTTTACTAATCTTAATCAACATTCTATGGGGGAAGAATAGAATAAATTGCTAGTCATACTGGATGTTTCATTAGTTTTTGCCAGGATTGTAGCTCATTAACATTATATTTAAATCACACAAGGCAAAGCTGTTAGCTGTCCTAAATATATTTGGGAATATACATGTACATATTAAATAAGGTCAAATAATATAAATAGAAGCGTGGAACTTTATAAATCAAAGAGTTGGGACAGACTGAGTCAGTGGTTTTTAATATAAACATGTTGAGATAACTTACCTGATTTTTTTGTTCAGTTTAAACCATACTTTATAGTTCCAAGTTCTAGCACAAATTTTAAAAATCATATTTCCAGTTTCAAAGAGCGACTGTTTTCGCCACAGCAAAATTAAAAAATTAAAAATTCAAGCAGATTGAGCGAAAGTGTTTGCGAAATAGCGAAATGAAGCAGCTGGGAAATTTGTTGTCGCTGTGCAGAGAAATTGCTGGCGCACGCGATATTTTACAAAAATTCGAAAATTTGAAAAAACAACACGAGTGAAATTTCAACTGATGATTTTGCATTTTTAAGACGGCGATCATGGAAATTAAATTGTAGGAAAAACTTCACTAACATCTCAAGTATGGAAAGCATCTACATTATCAGCATTTTAATTTTGGATTGATTCAAACTTCAGGCGATAAAGTTACATAGCTAGGAGTTGGCTTTTGTGCTCTTCGAATGTCCATTTTCATTCGCGGATTACCACAATTTGTTGGTCTCATGGGTGCCAAAATCGACATAAACGTAAACCGGTAACCAAGAGCTATAAAACAAATAGCTTTTCAAAACGATAAACTTCATTCAGTCAAAAGGATGAGGGTAAATAAACATGCTACTGCGTGATGGTGATTTTGAAGCAACTTTATCACATATATTTTAAAAAGTGGGATAATGAATCAAATTTTGCTTTTTTCAATCCCAAAAAGGTATGAAAATTATTTAAATATTTAAGGTTTCCGTGTTTATAATGTATTTTTTGAGAAAAGTAAACATTTTTCCAATAAAAAAGCATAGTTTCTGCAGAAAACTGTTTTTTGAGGTAGAATATCCTGGGAGAGGGGGTGTAGAAGTGTGGGCGGATAGCAAAAAACTTTGACGATTTCACCAAAAATTTAATACCAAATTTTGTTTTGTCTTAGTTTGATATGTAATTTAAACAAGTTTTTTTACATCTAAAAATTGCCCCTCGTGATCAAAACTTGGATTATGTTCGCAGTATTGTCTATTTGTTTACTTCTGGAGATCAAAGTTTGAGGTCCAATTATTTTTAAAGTTTGCAAACTACCCAGCTAATTCTTGGCTGTTGTTTGCAGCCTTACATGCTGATTAAAATTTAGTTTAGTCCACAATAGTAGATCCTTTCAATGAAAGGAAATTAAAAATAGTATATTTGATTACTTTTACAGCACAGTTAGTACATAGGTAGGGTGCAATACCAGGCCAAATTGCAAAAAAATTTACCGAAATCTCCAAACTTAAAATCATATTTTTTTGCTCCCAAGGCACATAGGAAACATAATTTAACAATGAATTTTGTTGAAAAATTGCCCCTTTGCGTCTAATTTCGCTTTGAAATGCGTGCGTTTACTGCTCTTGTATGAGATAAGAATTCGAAAACATTCGAACTACTGAAAATGTAATGGAATCGACAACTTGACCTTGCCCTTGGCCTTAAGTCCTTGTACTGCCTCAGCACTGAAATGTTTTTATAACAACAATAATTTACCAAGTTTCTTGGATATTTTCCTTGTTTAACTAGTAGAACCGAACATACAAGTGCATTAGAAGACTAAGCGAGAGTTTTGTGTAGAAATGCTCTGTTTACGGGAAGTTATTCTGCATTCGCAAGCGTCAACAAGAGCCGGCATTTTCACAGTTTGATTATCATGTCGATAGATAAAAGCTTTAAAAATTCAATTGAAAACATTTTAAACCACCCGTATTTCTATTAAATATATGTTAGTGGTATTAACATTGTACGTCTTTCTGTTTGAACCCAAATTCGTACTTGTTTTGCTTTTGACAAGGCAGTCAAGCTTGCGACGATTGGCAGGCATGACTGCAGAATTAATAGCGTGTCAAATGTCTTCTTGTTTGTGTCAAGTTTATAATGTTCTACTGCTGTTCAAACACAAACGAGATATTCTATACACTGGAAACGTAGAGTACATTTTACTTTGTCTCGAGCAAAAAATTATAAAGATTAAACAGGCATTCAAAAATATACAACAACCACGAACATCTCGTTATTTCTCGGGGAAATCTTCAAGTTTCAATGGAAATCTGGCGCATGCGCAACAAATTTCCCAGCTGCTGCGAAATGAGCGAAGCTAATCTATTGAAGTAAACCGCTGACGATTATGCTTTGTCGCGGGCGCAAGGTGTTTCACTGTATGGCCTTTAGTGCTTTCCGTCTCTCAGCTCTCAATTTTTGGTCGCGATTTCTGACGTTGACTGCACTAACCATGATGCAACGTGCCCCGCGATATTTATAAGCGCTAGATAAGAGGTCTCTAATTCATTTCCTACTATCAGCCTTGTGAAACACAGCAATGGATTTCTCGTCTATTTTAGCAACAGTTTCCCTTATTTTGTCTTGCACCAGCTCCTGGAGTGAGGTAAGTGTGTATAGAACTACACTACTATACAACTATATAGAACTGTAGTTGTTCACGTTCATGACATTTTGATATTTGCATGCGCATGTTAGATTCAGAAATGCTTTGCATGAGCCATAAATCCTATTGCGATTTGCGGGAATTGGATTGCTTCATTTAATTTTATCTGTCGTTCTAACAGGCTGTACAAGGGCGGATGATTTTAGGCTTCATTCGCGCACGCATATCATAAACAGCCAGCAGCTATTTTTCAGTGCTTGTCTGCATCGCTTGCGCCGAAAATGTGTTGCTGCGCATCACTATTTTAATTCTTGATGCGTCATGCACAGATCAAAACCAAACGGTAGGCATCATTCAAGTTGAACCGCGTCCAGTATTTACAGCTTCTCCGCGGTTTATATAGCTAACCATGGCACCACGATTGATACGTATAAGTGAATGCAATTGTAAATAAATACAGCCTTGAAGGGCATACAGTAGCATGGTTATAGATGTACATATAGTGAAAATTTCATTGCCACCAAAATAAATATGGATTATCTTAAGGTTATCGATCTGAATTTGATATTTATAATTCAGTCGAGTATTAGTTGATTCGACATTGCCATTATGCTTGTTTTGTTAACAATAATCAGTTTTAACTCACTTGCGCCCAATGCTTTTGCAAACCCAATAGCTCTGTATCTGAAACCCGGAAAAACAATTTGGCTGAACGCCATAGAAAGCATAGGTCCACAGGAAGAGTTCTAGGAATTTAAAATTTGCAACAACTCAAACATGCGCATGTTTTGTGATTCAATTATCTTCGAGTCAAACTGATGGCAAGGAATCGCGTACTATAGAATGATGAACATATTCAATGCTGAAATATTTATATTATAAGTTTGAATCAAACTGGCACTCCAGTTTACGATGCGATATGTTGCTATACTTGCTAATAGACAGATTTAGAAAAGACGACGAGGCGAACACGACAGCGCAGTCTCAATTTCAGCTCAAGATTGAGAGCCAAGAAACTAGATTGCTGTTAAATTAAAGCTTATTAAAATAACCTTATATCACGCAAAGTTCCGAAAAAACGACAAAGTCTACTGTGGTTTACAGTGAACATAAAATATACCGTATTATTAACATGAGGCTTATTGAGAACACGTTCGTTCTTATAAGCATTTTGAAAAATCTATTTCCTTTTAGATTTGCCCTGTTTTATTTCTTAGAACAAAACGCGGAGAGCGAGTTTACAGCCCAACATCACCTTTGACCCTATATACAATGAGGAAATTTATATGATTGTTCACATCATGTAGAAATAAACATATCACTGAATATCAACAGAGAAAAAATTGCAATCATCATCAGGATTGCTAGTTTGTACGGTAGAAACTGTCCTCCATAGACCAATAGCAAGGAAGTAGACAACCCACACTAACTTTGAAAGGGATTCCACGACAGTCTAATTAATCTGGCGCAGCTGAGTGAGGAATGTAGAGACAGAATGTCGCACGCAAATGCAGTATTGATTGACGACTCTATGAAGCTGCTACAGCTTGAGCCATGGTGTGCAGTATTATTTCACCAGGTGATTGACATCAAATTAATTTTGAGGGATTTTGTCAAGTCAAGTTGTCGCTCTTGCAGCGCGTAATAAAACTGCAGATGGACAGCGAAACAACTGGTAGCTAAAACAACTACCTTTCCCGCGTTTATTTTCGTTGTACGCGTAGTCGAAAGAGTTGTGAGGAAACATTGTCAGGAAATTTTTAATATTCTTAAGTTCCGAATTAATAACTGTATTTTCATTTTTTACGCCAAGGAGATGCAATTTCCTGCAAGCGCGACAAGTAAACTCGCTCTCGCGCACTTGTTTAGTTGTTTTCAATCGTTTTACTTTTCACAATGCGAGATAAGTTACAATACGTTACAGGGCTAGAGGAAATGAGTGAAATTTCGCATGCAGTGTAATTGTTTTGCACATGTGCCAGGACATCACACTGTGGTATTGTGTCTGGTTCTCAATTCTGTTCATTACTGTGTTGCAGCATGTAACATTTCCTGTTTATAATGTTACTCTAATGGATTCCCGGACCGATAAAGTTAAATACATGTCAAACAATTGCAATAAAATATACTACTCTGATTGCATCATGCTTCGTCGTTCAAATAGGTTGGTTTCAAGCAAGCTCCAGAGAGATGTAGAGCAAATAATAATACTCTGATGAGATTCTTTAAGTCATGTTTTCGCGCACTAATGTGGTTCTTTATGTAAATGAATGCAAAACAATGACCTGTATGTTCAGAAACCGTAGCGACCGTTGAGAAGTTACCTTTCGCAATCAGCGCTGGAACACTAACAGTGAAATATTCTGCACTTGAATCTAGGGACTGGTGATTGTAAATGGTAATGACCCTGGCAAATGTAACCAAACCATCCACGGCAAAGACGTTTTGGTTCAAGATCGTGAGAATAATGAGCTTATCATATTTTGTACCAAGAAAAACGACGTGTATAAATGGACAACCGTTGGAGGTTTGTTTTAGAGCAATTCAGATAAGTCGCACTTCACGATCTAACAAAATTGCTTGTTACAAATTGTATGAAATTCCATGTTTTAGACAAAAAACAAATATTGTTGAATGCTATGAATCGTCTTCTTCCACTATACATAACTCCTAGCGTTTTCCCTAATTGGCTAATTTCGTTTAAACAATATTTAAAGTTATCTAACTTTTGTTGAGGACTGCATGAAAAAGTATTTCAATTGCTCAAAATATTCAATGATTCATAAATAATGTTTATATAGGTATCGTAGAAAAAATATCAAGTACCAAACTTCTTTCATTGCAGTCTCTGCTTCCTTGTTTAAGGAGCGATAATTTTTAGACGATCTTCAGCTCTAGATCTGTCTTGAACTGCATCTGGACATCCCTTATAGAAATAATATTTATTATTTCAATGGGACAGCCATCTTATGTATTTGTTTACGCTCTCATTAATAGTTTACCTCTGTGAAAACACAAGGAAATCATAAGCATAAAGGAGCATGTATATTTCCGATATAAAATATATGTATGGTCTACATAAATTTTACGTTATTTTTCCAAAATATGATTAATGTCTTGAGATTATAAAGGAATGGAAAGATTTTCGTCAAAACGATACTAAAGCCCTGGGCAAACTAGGAAACATTGTTGTGGAAACATTTGTGATTCTCGATGTTTCCTCAAATG